TATTTAAAAAATATATATATATATGATAGCTCATGAGTAATCAAGAATTTGTGTGGTTATTCCTCTTGTTATGGTTCATTTTCTGGAATTTGATGGGAAACTGGCCCCAAAATACAAAAGCTACTCTTTAAAATTAAAAAGATGTGGGGTGGGTTTTTTTTGGCTTGTTTTCTAGTTGCAAGTTTTATACTGACTCGTTTTATAAAGTTTGTAAAAGTCAGAAAGACATGAAGAGATTTTTTCCCCTCTAATCTCTCCTAACTTCTGTTTATGGAACAAATTTTAACAGGTCACTGGAAAAAAATTTTTTTCAACCAACATATTAGCTGACAAATTACAAGAGCTTACAAGAGTCTGCATGAATATGAAAGAGGCCACTTCCTTTATTTATTACCACAGAACATGGGCAAGTTACTTAACGTCTACACTCATCCCAAGGTACAGCACAAATATTTTGTGCTAAATTCCAGGTGGTGGTCTAAAGGTTTTACAAATTTTGATTCATTCAATATTCCAAACCTCCCTGTGAAGTAGATATTATTGTTTTCTTGATGGGGCTTTAAGGTTACAGATAAAGAACTGAGGCGCAGAGAGGTTAAGTAACTTTCCTAAGGTCACAGAATACTGAGCCTGGTTCTCAAACCCAGAGAGATGGCATTTAACCATTATGCTATGATGAAAACGCTCTGTGATATATGGGTAAGAACTTCCAGAGAGGAATGATTTAAAAACATGTTATTCTGATCATAGTAATAGTTATCTTACCATGGAGTAATCTATGGAGAAATCTGGCAAATGTCCATCCATTAACTACATGATGAAGGTTAATATCATCAATGTGATGTCAGATGGAAATCATGTACCCACTGGTATGATATGATAATGAGAAGGGTACATCACCTCTTTGGTATTTTTTCTAAAAGTTCATAAACCCAGTCTAACCATGAGAACAACATTCTCCAAAACTAAGTTGAGAAATATTAAATAGATGACTATATTCTTCAAAACTGTCAAGGTCATGAATAATAGGAAAAGACTAAGATGCTATCACAGTTTGGAAGGAAGTATGGAGACATGATAACCACATCCTGAAGCAGAAAGAGGACAGTAAGTGGAAAAAAACGGTAAAATCCAAATAAAGTTTGGAGTTTTGTTCATAGTAATGTGTGATTGTTGGTTTCTTAGCTTTGGTAAATGTACCGTGGTAATGTAAAATGTTCGCAATGGGCAACTCGGAGAAGGTTACATTGAAACTACTATTTTTTCGACTTTTGTAAATTTAAAATTATTTTTAAATGAAAAGTTCACTTTGAAAAACATTTCCCTTTCTCAATCAATGTAGAATACCACCAAAATAAAATCAGTGGACATGCATGCTTTACATCATAGCTTCCTAGAAAGGGAATTGAATTTTTGTTGAGTTCACATTTGCTCAAACAATCCAAACTATCTGCTTCCCCCTTTTGGACACTTCATCATGTTTCATAGGCTTACATAGTTTGTCTTCAGCATTAATCATGATGTCTAAATCTCTCATCTATTTCTTGTAACTGAAGAAAAACACAAAGTGTTTGCTGTAATGGTCTCCAGACCCAACCTTCAACTGAAGCAAATGAGGAGTACACAGGGAGTTCAAAATTTCAATTTATGAATGGAAGCTTCCAGAAAATCAAATTAAACCTGTTCATCATTTGTGTAAATTCGATTCCTGGGAATGGCTTCATCAGTTACTTGTTTTCAAAAATGAAATAGAAAAATTTTCTTAGTTGTTGTTATTTTCTTCTTAACATGTCATTTGAATCCATAAGATCTCCATCAACCAAAATGTATAAATATTTATAAGCACAGGGATGGGTAATCTAGTGCTTACTCTCTTGCTTGAACAAGTGCTTCTGTAAGACAATGACTTTTGTGAGAGTTGATCGCCAAGTATTTATGCACAACCTTTGAATCCGTGCAATGGCTCTTAAAGAAATAGAAGAATCTTTAAAGTGGAAACTTTGGGGATTAAATTCTTTTTGCCCTGTAATCATTATGAATCAGAGTTTATATTTAGTACAATCCAGGATGATTACGTCTTCTAGATCCACTGTTTTGCCCTGTCATTGCTGCAGCCACCAACTTCATGCATATGTAAACTTAAAGCTCCTCACCTCAACTGTACCAGGTATCTTTCTGTCCTAAAGTTTCTGTCACTACCATGGAAAAATCTCTTGCCCAACAAGGAACAGGAGGTAATCAGTAAACATTTCCCCACCTTTCGTGTTTTAGGCAGATATTCAACCTGATTTCCCAGAGTGTCTCCAGTAGGACTAAACCCCAGTTGCCCACACCCTCTTTTCTACTTCACATTTTCCCAGTTTTCCAGTCCCCATATTGGGGACATTTCCCCAAATAAATTTTCCTGCATGGCAGGCTGATGACTAGCTCTGCTTTTTTGAGGGCACTTAGGCCAAGACACTGCTGCATCCTGAGAATGAGCCATGATGACTGGCAGGTGGGAATGGGCAGTGGAACTCTGCTCTACCCCTAGAGCTTATTCGCACACAACTTCCAGATCTATTTCCCTAAAATTACCCAATGACACTGGCTCCGTGGGAAGAAGAGTGAAGATTTTTAAACTTGACATTGAATTCTTGACTCAATCTACCCCTATAGGCCAAGGGCATGAGTGTGCACTGGGAACAGAGTCAATGTTTCTATTCAAATCTCCCCAGAGATAGCATAACTGCCCCTACTTTCTCTTTCTTTAATAACACACCCTA